GGCCAGGCTGGATGGAGCTCTGAGCACCCTGGTCTGGTGGAAGATGTCCCTGCTGATGGCAGGGGGGTTGGAACCAGATGATCTTGAAGGTCCCTTCCAACCCAAATCATTCTATGATTCTATGATCACAACTCTCGCAATCTGAAAACACATGCACTGTTACTACAGGCTTTTAATTATTCTTTTGGAGGAAATTCTCATTAAAAGTTTTCTCTCTTGAATCACATTGAGAGCGAAACAAAGTACAGGTACAAATACACCACCTCTGGCTCTGGAAAAAATCTTTGAACCATGACTCGCCAAAGCTACTGAGATGCTGGAAAATTGTCACTAGCTATTTTTCTTGTTCTGTCACACTTTTCCAGCCTCCTGCTATTAGCCAGTGTCAGAGGCAAGAAACTAAGTAAGACAAATATTTGGACTGGCTTCATCCAGCTATTCTTAAGGACTTTCACTTACACGCAAGCTGAAAAAAAAAAAATTATTTGCTTATCCTCACATCGATGGCTTTAACTTTTTCAAAATAATTAAGATGAGGAATTAACTTCAGAGAAAAGTCTTCTCACGTTTTCCAACAAACCAACGCAGAAACACATCCAAAAGCAAGACCACAGACAACTTTCAATTTGTTTTCTTGGTTTGTCACTTTCTTTCACATTTTCAGAAGGAGTGCTCACTGTCACAGGATTTGATTTGTATTAGATTCACTTCGCTCGAATAAGCACTTCGACAGTTCTGAACAAACTGTAATCAAACGGCCCTCGTACGGTTATTATCAGCCTTGGAAAGCAGGAGGTGGAAAAAGACCTAGAAATCTCTCCCTTTCACCTCATTAATGTGAGACTGGCTGTGATCCAGCGGTTAAAACAAACCTCCATGTAACACCACATCCTTTCTCCAAAAGCTGCCCATAGAAAATGGTTGGGAAATTACAACAACAGGGCAAGTATTTTCACGATACAGCCACAGAATACTCTCTCATCCTTCACCACTTCAATGCTCAGGAACTTACCGAGCTAACAGCCCTTAGTATTTAAGGGCCATTGATGAGTTTTCTTCTATGAATTCATCCGGTTATTTTTTAACTCACAAACTTATAGCTGCTGCAGTGTCCTCTGACACAGAAATCAACAGCTTGCTGCTGTTAGCATCAACCCTAGAGTCCTGTGCATCTCAATCTCAAACATGTTAAGTGCTTGAGTCTTTAAACTTCAATGTAGTGCATGTATATACTTAAAAAATCCCACACAGCTACACTTGGTTTTGCATGTGTTAAATGCAAGCAAATATACTTAGCAATACATCAGTGATACAAATATAATCCAAATCATTATCAGGAAATTGGTATTCTTCCTTAACAAGATACATGCAAGTCATCTTAAGTCCAAATCTAAACTACATTTGAGACAGTTAACACAGACCAATATTTCATTTCAGAATTACCTAAGGAAGGCAAGTAGGACTTCTGGATTTCCTTACTAAAGCAGAAGGTCTAAACCTACTAAAGATAATATTAGTAACATCCAAAAGTCACGTTTTATTACATACCTCTGAAAACATGACTTGCATTTTCTAACTATTTACCACATTCTAATCCCTGTAACTGGATTAATAACAACACAACAGCCTTTACGGCATAGCTAGTCACAGCATTCAGATTTATTATATTTTTAATATCAGCCAACTGATAACAAAAGGGTTTGCTCTACAAACTGCACAAGGGCATTTTCCCAGCACCATCTCTGTCACTACGCATGAGCTGCCAACACTGTGAATCAACTCACCTGCACTTAAAATACTGTGTTCCTTCGTAGGTACCATCATGCTTTCCTCTCTGAGGATCATCCCATTCCACACCAAGCCAAATTCCTGAAAAATATGGTAGACACATTTTCAAATTTATGGCATCACAGCGTAGAAATCCTGGTCGGAAGGAACCTCTGAAGTTCACCTAGCCTAACCTTCTCCCTCAGTGCAGGAGATGATTGTCACCAGGGCTAAAACAGCCTAGCCAGGGAAGTCGTTACCTGGACAGATCTCGAAAACCTCTGAGAAAGATTCCAGCTTGTCTGGACAGCCTATTCCAGTCCTGCATTACCTCCATAGAGAAAGATTTTCCTGCTGTTCTAGTTTAGAACCTTTCCAGCCACCATTTGTGGCCATTGTCCCTTATTATAAAATCTAATACTAATAAGAAGAATTTGGCTCTGTCACCTTCGTAATCGCCTGTCAAACAACTGCAGGCAGCTATTAGATGCCACTTCATCTTCTCTCCACCGCACTAACCAGGCCCAGATCCCTCAACCTCTCTTCACAACACACGTACGTGGTCTACACCCTTGACCACCCTGGCAGCCCTCCACTGGATCCTCTCGAGTTTACCTACATCCCTCTTGAACTGGGACAGCCCCAAACCAGGTACATTATTCCAAGTGCAACCTTCTGAAGAACCCCTGCCCCCAAGGGAGGGATAACAGCTCCCTCTGATCTCCTGGCCATGTCCATCGTTCTAAGGTAACCCAGCACAACGCACACCTTGCTTGTGACAAGAGCTCGCTGTTGGCTCATATTCATGACAGCACCCACCTTAACTCCCACCCAAGTCCTTTACCATAGACCCTGTGGGTTGCTAATCCTTCTCAGCCTGTACGGATACACAGGGTTTATTTCACACTACTTGTGGAAATTTACCCTTCAATCTCTGTCATGGTTTAACCCAGCAGCTGGCAACCAGGCCACGTGGGGTCCCCCGTGGGATGGGGAGGAGAAGGGACAAAAAGCAAAACTCGTGGGTTGAGATAAAGACAGTTTAGTAAGACAACAAAGGAAATACTACTACTAATGAGTATGCAAAACAAGCCTACACACAATGCAATTTCTTTTTTCCTCACTGCCCAACGACTGATTCGCAGCCAGTGCCTGAGCAGCGATTGTGGAATCTGTGGGTTTCCTGGAGCTCACAAATTTCGCCAAACTCACAAATTATGCAGAACTTGCCAAACTCTGGAAAGAGACTGAACTCACGGAAAAAGAGAAGATTCCTGCCCCCCTTCTCCAGCCAACCCCCATTTATAAACTGAGCATGATGTCCACAGTATGGGATATTTCCACCGGCCAGCTTGGCTCTCTGTGTCTGGCTGTGCTCCCTCCCAGCTCCTGCACCCCTGCTCATTAGCCAAACATGGGAAACTGAAAAAAGTCCTTGATTTCTTAGCAACAACTAAAACCAGCAGTGCTATCAACATTCTCCTCGTACTAAATCCAAAACATGGTGGCTACTGGGAGGAAGATTAACTCTATTCCAGCCAAAACCAGGATAACCTCTTAGGCCCAAACCTAAATTTCACAAAGCTTGTTCCAGATTGCAATTCTACCTTTTGTCACATCAGCCAGTTGAGGGTGAATGCTGTTCATTATCTGAAATGCTGACAAATACATTAAACAATACAGAATCCAGCATTTACTTCTGTAGTACTCGTGCAGTATCAGATACCAAGTCACCGACTACCACTTCTCCAGCTGACAGACCTGTGGACTTTCAACCCCTTTAACAGTGCATTCATCTGGCTTGTATATCTCCAGCTTCCAAATAAGATTCTTTAGAGATGCTGTTCAAAGACTTATTAGAGTCAAGGAGCATTACAACCCCTGTTCCTCCTTTGTCCACGTTCCCAGTCATATCCTCACAGAAGATAATCGGGTTTGCCAAGCACAACTTGTTCTTCCTTACAAGTACCGAGTATTCCCAGCTACCATCTTATCCTTCATAGGCTTGGAAATGGACTCCAAGGGAACATGCTATGTGATCCTTCCAGGAACTGAAGTGCGACTGATGAGTCTACAGTTCCCTGGCCATCCTTCTTGCCTCTTCTAGAGCTGTACGCAAGGCCGGTCTCCCTCCAAGCATCAGCAACCTCCCTATCCTGCCAGCACAGTTTTTCAAAGGCGACATATGGTGCTCCCACAATCAGACCGGTCAGATCTTTCAGCAAGCTGGGCTGAGTCCTGTCTGTCCCCATGAACCTGAAGACGTTATCAAAGGGGCACCCAGACTGTTGGTCTGCTGCTGCTGCCTGTCTCTCTCCTTCCCAGACTACACCAGCACAGAGAGGTCAGGGAACAGACTGTCCATGAAAACTGATGGAAAAAGGCAGGCACTAAGATCTTTCCGCTGTAAGAAAGAATGGAATCAATTTCAAACAAAAATACTTCTTGGTCTCCTTTTGACAATGTTTTGGCTTGGCCTGGATAAATGCCAGGTGCCCATCAAAACTGCTCTATCACTCCCCCTCCTCAGCTGGACAGGGGAGAGGAAATACGATAGAAGGCTCGAGGATTGAGACAAGGACAGGGAGAGACCACTCACCAATTACCATCACAGGCAAAACACACTAAACTTGGGGAGAAAAGGGAGTTTAATTCATCCACAATTGAAAAAAAGAGTAAGATAGTGAGAAAATAAATCCAGATCTTAAAGCACCTTCCCCCCACCCCTCCCTTCTGCCCGGGCTCAGCTTCACTCCCGCTTCTCTGCCTCCTCTCTCCAAGAGGCATGAGTGGATGGGGAATGGGGGTTATGGTCAGTTCATCGCATGTTGTCTCTGCTGCTCCTTGTCCCTCAGGAGGAAGACTCCCCACACTCTTCCCCTGCTCCAGCATGGGGTTCCTCTCACAGGAGACATTCTCCATGAACTTCTCCAGCATGAGTCCTTCCCATGGGCTGTAGCTCTTCACGAACTGCCCCAGCATGGGTCCTTCCCACGGGGTGCCAGCCTTCAGGAACAGGCTGCTCCAGTGTGGGTCCCCCAGGGGGTCACAAGCCCTGCCAGCAAACCTGCTCCGGTGTGGGCTTCTCTCTTCATGGGCCCGCAGGTCCTGGCAGGAGCCTGCTCCAGTGTGGCCTCCCCACTGGGTCACAGCTTCCATCAGGCAAGCACGTGCTCCGGGGTG